GGCAACACTTTCTTATTTAATGTATCTAGTAGAAATACAACACTTATCAATTTAAATTGAAAGGATCTTCATTATGTATCTTCTCAAAATTTTTGATAATTTTAAATCAAAATTGAAAGAATCCTCAATGAACTAGGAGAATAATTTTGAAACTCAAAATTTTCAACAATTTTGAATCAAAACGGAAAGGATCTTCAATGAACTGTAGAAGAATTTTAAATCTCAAAATCTTCGACAATCTTGAATCAAAATCGAAAGGATATTTGATGAACTTAAAGATTAACAAAAGAAATCATTTGTCCAACAACAATTCTATCACTTTTGTATCCTTCATAACTCACCTAGCTTATCCAAAATTTTGACAAAAGTTTTTATGAAACTGATAAGAGAGAACGATGAACAAGAGAAGAAATTTAATTTTTGAATTTTTTGGTTTGTCACACTATATGATTTTGAATTCTTGACAATAATTTGGAATGAAATAGTGTAATTTATGGAATCTTAATTTGATTTTCAGCTTTTTTTTCCCATTAATTAGTGCAACAAATGGATACTATGAGATCTTAATTTGATTTTTCAGCTTTTTTTCCTTTAATAAGTGCAACAGATTGATACATAATGTTTCAACAATAATGTATCCGGATACTTAATTATGTATCTGAAATGCCTAAAAAATATGGGATTTATGTAATTACAAAACTAATAGGGATAGAAGGTAATTTAAGTTTTACACTATGATATTTATGTAAGTTATACAAATTAGTCGGCCCACTTCAAATGGGCTTTCAGCCCATTCTTCAATAAATAAATATACAAAAAGGGAAAAATACAATTTGATGTTCAAGTAAGAAACAGGAGTAAGAGAAACCGGCGACTTTGCAGTGAAAGGTGATAACTGTTCTTCTTTTCTCTGCAATTTACTCTATCAAAACTTTCTCCGCAGGTGTTATCTTCAATTCCTTATCATTTTGATGTATCTAAGTTAGTTTTAGAGTTGTTGAAAGACTTGATTGATGAATGTCTGCTAGTTGTTTGACGAAATGCCTCAATGAATACCAATTTTTTTTTTAAATTTAAAAAGTGGGTTTTTTTCTATTTAGGTGTGATGAAGAACACTAATAAAATAATGGGTCACGAATTTTCTTGATAGAAATGCGTCCTAATTCTTGGAATGATGTAAATATGGATGGAGAACAATTGGTAGGCTTTAGGTGGGCAGCCAATGAGTATTGGATTGCCCATGAAGACCCTACTAATATTGAAATTCTCATTAATTCCTGACTAAAAAAAACGAGTTTGTTTGATAGAAAATTACGAAATCGAAATTTTAAGTTCAAATACTAATCAATCACAACCCAACTTAAATTTGCATTGTTAGTCGATTTGGACTTTATCTTGAAATTTTTGGATGGAAAAACAGTCTTAATGGAATGAGTTGCATCATTAATAAGCAAGAGTGTATTTGGGATGGAGGAAGTATATTCTATTTGTGTGTTGCATTCAGAAACCCAACTTCTGTATTTTGTGGGATTGTACTAGAACTAATGCACTAATACTCTGTCTTATTTGATTAAAGGTCTCTTTTTTATGGGAGTATGCTGAAACTAGTTTCTGAAATGTTGTGCGCTCGAGGAGGTCAGAAGTTGAGGCCTTTTCTATGTGCACAAGTTAGTGGCTTTCATACTTCAAAGGTAAAATGATTTGTGTTGATGCTACTACTTCATGCAGCCTTTCTATTTTCATATGTGCATACATAACTTTGGCAGGAAAGAGAGCGAATGTTCTTGCTTCTGTCTTGTTGACTTGTATGGTTTTCCAATAGGACATGGCTATTTAGATCTTAGCTAAACCACTTGTTACTTCTGAGGTTTCTTGTTTGTTTTATCCAGTGGTGTGTTTATCTATTGTTCAAACAAAGACGGTCTTTATGTAAAAGTAAAACAAATGCAGAAGAGTGCTCATTAACTTCCATACAAATGACTCTTGGGTAAGAGGACTGGTGAATATTATGGTAGGATTGCCACACATTACATGGGAATCAGTATGATCTTCTTGTTTCCATATAAGGCTTGTTGGAATGAACTCTATCATTTCAGACTATTAGTTTCATATTGAGATAAAGGCTCAAGTGAGTCGAGTTAATTGTTCTCTTGAGAGTCTAGACTCTTAACAAAGCAACTTTCACTGACATTGTTTCTTCTTCCATCCCAAGTTTGTTTATCATGTTTTGCCAGTTGCATATAATTAGAGATTGAATTAATTTGAATAGTTTTAGATATTAGAGTTATGTACAGATGTGTTTGAGAAATTGTTGGACTATGTAAAAGTGGAGTAATTGTTGTGAAGATCTCACATCAAGGCAAAAGCGGTATGACCGAGCAGTAGTTAGATCTTCATTAAGTCATATTTAAATGAAAAGTTGTTCTATATAGCGTCAAGTAACTGGGAAGGTACTCTGTGATGATAGAATCATTTAACTATGAAAAGGTGAAGCTCCAAATGGTAGGTTCTTGAGAATGTTGGCCGTTTCTAAAATGTGAAGAATATTTTGTTATTTCTTAGTTGCAATGCATTTTAAAATCTAGTGAAATAATCATACCTTGTGGACATAAAGCATTTTGAAGCAACCACCATTTTGTTGAAATGAACTCTTTATTGTTGGTTTCGCTTAGTTGAGGAATCAGTTGGTTCTCCTCTGTTGTGAGGATGCTAATATATAAAAATGCTTGTATTATGTATATATGTGATTGCTTAATTGACAAAAACAAGCCAATAAAGAAGAAACTATACATTTTTAGTGTTATTAGTATGTGATGTCATACAAGGTTGTAGTGAATTGATGTGCAGGCAAGATCAATGGATGAATTTGGGATTTAGAAAAACTAGCTCTGATAAAAACTGCTGACTTTATGTCTCTTTACTGTGCTGCTGTTATCTTTTTACCTTTGCTTTTGTATAATTAATTAATAAAGAAGACATGCGCTGCAGCTTCACGAAGAAGATAAGTTTGGATTGTGTTTGAGGGAAGAGATTGTAGAATCAGAGTACAGATCCTTTAAGCTTTTAGATTGGATATTCACCAAATCTAAAACAAACCAAATACATTAAAGTTTTGAATCCCACATTCATTTTCTGGCTCAGAATGGGAGCTTGAAGTGATTCCCGTCCTTCACTTAAAAAATAAGGAATGACTATTTTATCCAGGAAAAGAATGATAAGGAGTGGCTTGTGAGAAAGAGAGAGAAGTGGAACACTGTTGACTCCATATTTGCAGCACTTGATGTCAGCCCTGCTTACAGGTTTGTATACTTGTGGTATCCTTGCCACAGTGGTGTGGTTGCTCTTATATTAGAAAAAATGTGGCCTTCTTCCTCCTTTGTTTGAATGTATGGGCTTGTTGTAATACCAAACACTGTTCCCCTTTGTTCCGTGCATTTGAGGAATAAGAGGTATGATGAAAGGAGAAAAAATTGCATTCAAGTATCACTGTGTGGTGCTTCGGTGTGCTAGCACATGATGTGTATGTACATTTTAGAGTGATTGCTTTGCTATTGTCTTTGTAGCACTGATGTACTGATAAAATGTTACTAATTCATTAGCAAGTGTTAAATGATATGCAAGCTCCACTTCATCTATGAAAATATGTGGTTCCACACACATAATTACCTGCATTTATGTTTTCTACGCATTGCGCTTGACATATGTGTGATGAACAAACAAACTTTATCTGCACTTGGTTTTATAGCTTATTAAAGAGGTGGACCTGTATATTTTTTAAATAGTGTCCCCTGAATAAGTTTGTTGCTTCGTTTGGCAGCCTGGTTTAGCACCTAGAAGCTTTTTCGGGGTGGAAGATTTCGTTGATGATGACAATAGCCGTCCATATACTTATCAGAAGGGGAAAAAATCGAAGAACCCAAACAAGCATGTTTCTTTCAAGCAACGGACTGTAGCTTACATGGAACCGTTCACACTTGATGTTTTCATATCAAAGCGCTTTGTTTCAGCCTCAATCACCCATAGAGTTACATGCAAACAGGTTGCAGTAGCTGGTACAAACTCCAAAGATATCAAGGCAGTGCTCAAATCACGAAGTGATATTCCTGCATGCTTGTCTGTCGGACAGATATTGTCCGACAGGGCAAGAGAGGCTGATGTATACACTGCTTCTTATACACCTAGGGATAGGGACAAATTCGAAGGGAAAATTAGAGCAGTTGTTCAGTCCCTCATTGATAATGGTATCGACATCAAAATTTATCTTGACTGAAAAAAGGTACTATGTCTACCTGTTGTATCCAAATATATTAAATCATCTTAAAGTAATGAACCCTTATTGCAGTCTACTTAGTATTTCTTATAGTCTGAGATTGTCATAAGCCCCTCTTTGTGGAGAAGGCTGGCTTACTCACTTTTTTCTGATTGATTGATCGGCCTATCCCATCTTTACTAGAGAAGACCAAGCAGTCGTGAAGCCTTGACCTGGATTGGATATATGTATGCCCTAACATAGAGTTGAGGAACCTATAATACAGGCTTTGGATGCTCCAATCTTGCTGCGTATACCTGGACAGTATTCATTGTACATTTCCATCTTCTGTTCCGCTGTCATCATCAGAAGCTCCAAGGACCAACACAGCTAGAAAGCAACATCAGGGGCTCACTAGTGCATTCCCCATATACATAACTACCAATACAACTGTACAACTTGTTCTACGACTGTTGAACTCGTTTTGGAGGGGGATGAGGTGTAGGTTTATACATTTCTGTTTCTTTTATTGACAAAAAATGTTACTTTAGGTTATAAGTATCATGTAAAGATTGTGAGAAAGAATGTAAATTTAATTAGGAAGAATGGATTGTACACTCTATAGCACTTGACTCAAGCTTATAATCAAAATGAGCCCATTTTTTCAGATCTTACTCTGTTTACCCCTTTTTGTATGTAATATGAAATACATAGGATAATTGGCAATAATTTTTTAATTTGTGATTATGATTTTCATTTCTAATGCTTAGAAACTAGTTAAGAGTTGATATTCATTTTTATCATCATAGGTTTAAACATTTTTGGCTGAATTAAAGTGAAATTTAAAACTCTATTGTTTAAGTTTCCAAAGGCTTGAAAACCCATAAATGAGATTTGTCATTGTTGAAATTTTTGAGTAATTGATAATTGGGGTTTGTCGGAATGTTGTTTTGGAAATCATGGTTAAAATTCGAAGCTATTTTATGATGTTTTCGTGGGTTCAAGTTCCTAGGAGACAAAAAAAGTGTTTTTGTATGACAACGTAAAAGTGTGTATAAACACTTCTTATACACTTTCATATAAGGTTGATACATAGTTTACATTAAAAGTGTATAGTATTGTAAACTGAATGACTACGTGACGTAATATTTTATGTTAGACTATATTTTTTAAAAATTCCAAGAAAATATGAGTGTTCGTAAAAGCTAAAGATGAAGTTGTCACAATTTCACAACCATAATAGTTAGTATATACTAATAACATCTATAATGTCTTTGAAATTCTATCCCAACTACTATAGCATTCTAATTTTATTTCTAAGCAAGTGATGTTATGACGACTCCTACCTTTCTTAGTCGTGAACTAAATTCACCTAGAAATTTATTTTATATATAAATAAAGTGAAAATATTACTAGGAGTTTATGACTAATCAAATTGCATTTATATATATCATAAATATAAATTAAGTTCATCGATATAAATGCTATCGTCGATGATGGAAGGAGGATTAAGGACGTCTAGACTACAGATAAGCTTGGAATGGAAGATGAAAGGTAGTAGAATTCATTCTATTCTAAGAGCAGGGGGCGGCTGTACAGGCTTAAAAAATAACAGGGGGCGGAATGGAAGATGAAAGGTAGTAGAATTCATTCTATTCTAAGAGCAGGGGGCGGCTGTACAGGCTTAAAAAAGGCTGCATAGGTTATAAGTATTATTTTTTTTAAAAAATATATAGTATTATTTATAGAAAATATAATATTTTATATAAGAGGACAAAATTATTAGAAGTTTGACAAATCTATACTATGTATCAAAAAAGATTAAATCGAGTGGCTATAATAAATTTCATAAAAAAAAAATTTAAATTTTAAGCCTTCATTTGAATTTGGCTTTAGGCAACTGATGTATTGGAGTCATCCTGTATTGAAGATTAGAAAGTTGATGAAACAACAAACTATTTGATTGAAAAATACATAAAGGGATGTGTTGTTTTGGTAAACAGTTGGTCCACCCTTGGGGGTTTATGTGGTGGAGTGTGAGTACTTGAAGTTCAAGAATTAAACAAATACATTTAAAATTTATGGCCCGTCATGATATTTCTATAATTATAAAAGTAATTATGTTTGTTGTTTCCAAATATATATATGGTCGGCTACGACACATATGTGGTTAAACTTGACTCGTCTATATAAGATTCTTAGATGATCTTTTTTGTATTATATGTCTTGTTTTGAAGAACGTCTTCCCCGATCCAAGACATGACAACAATTATGGAAGGTCCGACACGTAACAAGGTCCAACAATGAATCTAACATGGAAGATGGTTATTGTGCCTTAAATGACACGATATAGGCTTTAAAGAGGGTTTTCATGAAGGATTGCGGGATAGCCACCTTCTACTCTGACTTGAGATCCTTCCCCAAACTAGCAAGTTGTCTTAAACAAAAAGAATGTACATAAAGACAAGATAACTCAAGCTTCACTGAAAGAAGAAACGCTATATATATATATAAATGCGCCTTTTTGGGGAACGGGTTAATAAAAAAATAGTTGTACATAAAATGGATCAGAGTGAATAATTGGATAGACTAGACTAATTATGAGGACCCCCAATTGGATCTTGATGGATATTTTGTCCATTTAATTGGATAGGAATCTGAAGCTGTTGCTGGTCTTGACCTCAAATGGATTCTTCATTAGACATATCCCAAATTTTGGTAGGAATATCTTCTTTTGAATATTATAATGTAAATGACAAACAAAAAGACATTTGTTATTAGTATCTTTGAGATTTTCAAGTCATTTATTTCCCCACAATATATTCATAAATAAAGAGATCAATAAAATATAACACATGAAAACAACAAATTAGATACATGAGATTGATCATTATCGATCACATAAAAAAAATTATTCAAATTCTAACGTGCAAGTCTAGAGGGTAATTAAGAACATTGTAAAAAAATAAAAAAATTATATGGCTCTTGAATCACAGAAGATTGCCTGCTCACAATTTGAAAATTATGACATATACTGCTACAACAATTAACAATAATAATATATAACAACAACAATAATAATAATAAAACTGGAACTGTGACTAGAACCATGTGCTCTTCCTTAGAAAAAAAATGAAAAATCACTCGCTATCTACTAACCTTCTACTTTAATATATCTTCCATCTCCATGCTCTCCTATTTATGATTATGTCCTCGATGAATTGGTGATGTGTCATGTCATGTGTCTAATTATCACCTCTCCAAAAATATTTTTGGTCTACCTTTACTTCTACTTAGACCTATCACTGTTTACATAACCATATCACCCTCACTTTCCTCATCTTGTCCAAAGTCACTCCCACCTTGGCACCTTGCGTCATATATTTTCGTTCATCATTTTATCTCTTATTAATATATCCACACAATTCATCTAAACATCCTTATTTCCGTCATATTTATATATATATATATA